TTTTGAGGGTCGTGTGCTATAAATGGAAGAGGAACAAGTGCCATTATAGTTCCATGGGGGTACACTTAGTCATCCCCCCACATGGAAGGCCAGCAGAGAGGTAATATTGGTTTGGTGTGGAATGGTCGTGGTTGTGCAGTTGGAGAGCCCCTTGGTGGTGGCAGATGCTCCAGTTGGTCTGGGTTTGAAAGCCACCCACCAAGGAGAGGTGTACAGGGCAAGGACACTTGTTCGACCCCAAGGAAAGTACCTGTTAGGATGACTAAAGGTCACCGGTGGCAGAAGCATATTAACAGAGTCATGCTCTCTAGAAGACCATGTCAGGTGGTACATACCACCCTAAGGATGGAGTAGCTGGATGTAGGTGATGTGGGGCCGATTGTAAAGGAAGTGGAGTCTGGTTAACACATGAAATGGAAGGACACTGCTGACCACAGTCTAACCCACAAAACCCAGGGCCTGATGCACCAGTATGGTCCTGTGGCAACATTTGTGTGGGCAGCCATGGATGTAAACCTGTCACAAATATATAGGTATGACTGCATAACTAAAACATAAGAGAAACCTCATGCATTTTCTTAGCTGGCACAATTTAGAGAGTGACATCTTGCCCTAATAAGTATTAGTGAAATACTGTCATTATAGCCTTAATTCAAACTGCACTCACTTCATGGGGTCTTGCAAAATTAATATCTCTGAGTTGTGCAAACTGACTGTGGAAATTATAGCTTTGTTGTGTGATTTGATTTAATGAAATACTCTCTCATCCAGAATTTAGGAACGTTTACTATTTTATTTTCCAAAACTAGACAACTTTTTGTAAGTATACATGCACAATGCTACTTTAGTCTTCATGATGGAGGCTTACACATCAGTATTTATTTCATATTTATATAGTGATAAGCACATTCTACTTGAATCATCAGCTGCAAAGGTCAGGAAATTTCCTTCTATTTGGGAATGTTTGTTGAATGGTACTTTCTGTGTACCTATGTTTAGATGTTAAGCATAGGCAAAGCACCCACAATGCCAAGTTACAATGATGGAAGAAAACACTATATATAAATATTTTTACAGCATACATTACCATGTACTATACACAAAGCCAATGAATTTTTATGTGCCTAGTTCAATTCTCGGGTGGTTACACTATGTGGATATGGGTAACATTGCTAAGATTTTGAAGGCAGATACTGCCTCCACCTTCAAGGTCAAAGGGTTCTGGCACACTCAACCTGAAGATGGAGGCAGCATGTATCTCAGAAACATCCACACAATATAGCTACCCAAGGACTGAACTAGCATCAGTAGTTCAGCACTGTGAGGGTCTATAATCAATAATTGGTTATTGTGCATCTTTGCACAACATGCAAAAAAAAAAAATAAACAAAGGAATGTTCACAGCTGTCCTTTTTTCCATCTGTCCAAAAGTATCAACTTGAGAATTGCTGGATAGATTATGATGAAGTCCAATATGAACACAAAATATGTAATGTTTAATACTGTACATCCAGTAATATCAACATGGCACACACATAAATTGGTGAGGTGAGAGCAACACTATCACAACTACATAATTGCTGTAACAATGGTAACCATAGGAAGCATAGTAATAATAGCAACCATAGTAACACTAGAAACCAAAGTACCACAATGACTACATTTAAAACTTTAGGAAACGTTCTCTAATGTGAATACATAATTCCAAGGTGGAAAGAATGCATGTGTAAACTGCGTCCATCCAGTATGGGCTGCACCTTTGAACTCTTGTTATAAATATCTTCTGGATCTTTTTCCATGCTGTAGGTGCTTTGCCAGGGTATAATCTACACAGTCTTGTGTTACAAAGGGAAATATTTCATGACATTTCATACCAAAGAAAATGGAGTGAAATATGCAATCACCACTGCATATAAATAAAACTAATGAAACCTCTACTTGTACTTGTTTTCATGCGACTCCATTTAAATTCTTGTACTGTATTTCCATATTTCCTTAGTACAGTGTCCACTACCTGGATAAAAAGAATGTACAATGTTTTGAAGATTGTCTCTGCCCCTAACCACAGGTATAAGATAGCTGTGATCAAAAAACAGTGCCATGTACCCTATCATTTCCAGCTTCAGTACTCAAAAAAGTCTTTTTACACTTCCTCTCTCCTAGTGACACCTGCTGGAAACAAATTTCCATACGCTCAAATAGATCATGCAATATATGAGAGCAGTTCCTTTCACAGATTAGCTTAAGTGCCTCAGTTATTTATATTAAAATTAAGTCATCTAAAATGACTATTATCTGTGAAATAAAGGGATGAACTCTAAGGTTCCAATCTGTCTGATTGGGGTTGAACTTATGGCTGTCTTATTCATTCTACAGTCATTGAATGTACAACATTTCTTTCCAAAATCTAGTATCACAAATATGTTCAAAATATCAACCTTTCTGTTACATTTGCATGAGGGTTATTAACTTTAAATTTTTTTACCTATACCCAGATGATTATTTCAAATTAAACAAGGAACTATGATTGGAAATGTTAATGTTATAATTATTTTTTTTTTCAAGAAAGAGCTCACAGAACAAAAAATATGTACATGCCATAAAATATTTGTTAAGTTCTCCTAATTTTATGGCATGAAATGTCTCTCATTTTAAATTTGGAATACACTTAACATCATAAATATAACAGTATGCAAAGTGCCAGTTCTAACTGACCAATAATGTCTAAAGTAACTTTTAATTGCCAAATTTAATTATGGTTTATCCACACAATATTTAACAAAAATTCAGCCACTTCATTAGCTGAGAGATACGACTGTAACATGTGCTTCATTTTTCACAAAGCGTGCCTAAAAAATACAGCCCCAAGTTTCATGAACTGATGATGGTCAACCTATTTCATCCCTAGAAATTATCAATTTTCCTTAGAGACTGTTTTTGTAATTGCGTTCTATATGATTCAGCTTGTTACCCAACATCCGCAGTCATTCCGGTAAAGTGGCCAAAGCTTGAAATTAACCACTCATGCCCACCCAGAGCTGAGGTTCAGAAGTATGCCACTTCTTCATATGGTGCTAACAAACAGGACCAATATGCTTTTAGTTTAAATACCTGCTTATAAGGCTAATCATGAATAGATTCATTTTATTGCTACCCTCTCCTTAATTTCCCTAAAGATCTTTCCAGCTTGGTACTTATATCAACATGGAGGCAGTATGAAATTGTGGGTTGGGAAAAACATAAGCATTAATAAACTGTAGGGTCTTTGAAAAATATGCAACTTTTGTAAGTGACTTTGTCTGGAAAATAACACACCATTCCTGATGAGGTCACTGGGTTCTTCAACTGACTTAATCCTTCCAGCCGCATTATGGCCCTGGGGTTGACTCAGCCTCTCACAGAAATGGGTATCAGGAATCTTCCCATGGTAAAGGGCAGCCAGTGTGTAGGGCTGACAGCCCCAAGGCCATCTGTGAGATGACTGTCTAGAAAATGTGGCAGCCTCGATGTCTCAAAACCCTATGGGTCGCCATGGCCTGTTACAGGGTTAACTTTACCTTTTACTTTTTATAACAACTGATAAATCACTGCAAAGTCATGGTAAAAGGCAGCCAGTGTGTAAGGCTGACAGCCCCAAGGCCATCTGTGAGATGACTGCCTAGAAAATGTGGCAGCCTCGATGTCTCAAAACCTATGGGTCGCCATGGCCTGTTACAGGGTTAGCTTTACCTTTTACTTTTTATAACAACTGATAAATCACTGCAAAGTCATGATATGTGATATTTATATGGTGACGCTGCAAACACATCTACTAGTAGTACCAGTGGTATTAAAACTTACGAAGACCAAACCTTCAGAATCCTAAAATGCACACTTCAAATGACAAGTGGCTTCAGCACTTCTTTAAACAATGTTATTTTAACAAGGCAGAATGTTCTTGTTGCATCTTAATAACTGTAGACAGAATACTGGTAGTGCTTAGACTTCCCTTCTATGTACCTGAAACATGTAGTGAATGTTATTTAAAATAATTCCCTTCACCAGTATTAAAAATTAGAATTTAACTTGCTCTATCACTTTCATTTCATCCTCCAAAAGCTCTCTGGTAGCTAGATATCACCTGTAGTTTTAAGGCACAAACTGAGTTAAATAAATGTATGCAGTTTGGATATTTTTAAAGTTTAATTGCTGACTTTTATAGCATAATGATATTTTCCTAAAATTATCCATATTATTAAAATATTGAAACAGTTATGTACAATGTATTTTCTTATTCTGATTGAAGAAATTCATAACTATAGAGATAATAAACAGATTTTAGTTTCTCCATAAGGTCATACAAATTTGTTTGACCAAAAAAGTTGAAGTGAGGAATCTCAAGCTTACCCCTTTCAAGTTTTCCTTTCTCTACAGATTACAAGCATATTCATTTACTGAATTTTCTCATTAATGTACTCAAAAAAATTAATGCCCCTTTTCCAGTACAAATGACTTTTCAAAACAGTCAGAACATATAAATTCAACAAATTCATCCATCAATTGAGTGAACACTAACAATTGATGTTTTTTTACATTTACAGTACAAGATTCTGGAACCATGATTTAAAATGATCCCAGAATCTTCATATTTTACTGAAGCATTCATAAAAGCTGTTCACTAGCCCTTACAATCTCAAACCCAATAATAAACTATTTACAGGTCAGTAATGGATTCTTGTCCTTTCTCTTCAGAAATGCAAGACTTAAGTCACAGTTTTGTACTAATCATAAATATTTTTGTCATCAAACAAGGCAGCAATTAAAATTAAAAATGCCTAACACTCACAGACCACAGGGCTGTTTGTGGCTTGTGAATAAACTTTGCATATTCCTGATTTACTTCAATTTCATTGGTTTCATTTTGTCTTATCTTCTGTTATGTACAGGTGGAAAACTGGGTTTTTATATGTATATATATATATGTATGTGTATATATGAATAATGTGGGTCTATCATTTCAGCTAGATGACACAACAGCAATCCCCAAAGAAAAAACATTACCAGTTGATGGGTCAATTGTCTTCCCCATATCTTAGACACAAACAGTAGTATCAGTTTAAGTCTCTGCAGTGTGTAAGTAGCAACACAACCTTCAGATGCTTCACTACTGTCTGTCCTTTCATACATAACTCTCACTCAAATATATTTACTTTCTCTGGGGTAGTGCATTTATAATGACATTTTACCCAATCTGGGTCATCAAGGGATGAACCCAATATAAACATACATATTAGTGCATTAAACCTTCAGTGCAGAAAGACATGCTCTATGCATCTAGCCTTTTTGCAGCTTCCTACCTTAAGGCACGAGTAAAAAAAGCATAATGTGAAAGATAATGTCCATCAGTTTGCCTGTCTACATGTTTAATTTATGAGGAATACTTGATCGACTTTGATTAAGTTTGGTATTGGGAGTCTGCCCCAAGATTTTGCAAGAAAATTTAGTTTTTATTTGCATCCTCCAATCTAGAGGTATATATAAAACTGCATTAAGTTCAAACCAAACTTCATCAATGGCATAAGATACACACCGATTACTATCTATAATTTCTTGTGAAAGTTATTTTGATGTAATGAACATTTTATATCAAACTACAAGGGAAAATTTTTTTAGACTGTAGTATGATACATCTGCAACAACAGATTTCTATCTGCAATCAGTAAACATCATCACCAATGAGGAGCAGACACATAAATTCAAGAAACATATTTGAAAAATATATGTTCTCAAAAATGGAGTATGCCTTTCTATTCATGTTTAATGAAGTTAACAAATTGTCACATGTTTCATATGTAACGCGACAAATAGCTTCAAACAGGTCTCCGATTTGGAGAATGTTTATTAGGCAGTGTCCCAATTACTGTCACTTATAATGTCCTTCAGACGCTTCTTTACCACTATCACAATTCTCGCTGCTCTCGGTCAAGTGTTCTCGACAACTGCTAAACTTCAACGCTCCTCTGGTGCATTGAACCCCCTTACATAGGCCTCTCGCAGACGACAGAGTAAACAGCATATATTGTTGGAACACGTTTACTGACCGATTGCATAGCAACGGTCGCAAGGTGTTTTGCAGTCAGTTACCTAGCAACACTGTGTCCATCCACTTTACAATATTTATATCAGAGAATTAATCAAATAAAATCTTTAATAAAATTCTTAAATTTTATAGACCAAAGATGGCTTCTCCCACACGAGGGAAGGGAGTACAGTGAAAATGCTTCTGCACTGAAGGATTAGTTGCTGACAGATAATACAGAAAACGAGTGAATGTCAAATGAATTATACTTTAACACGGCATTACCAGTAAATATCCCTTCATCAGTTGTTGACAGAGAACATTCAAGAAGTCATTCTTTTGCCAGGCAGATTTAATGTAACATATTGTCAGTCTGTATATAATACAGTAGCTGGTAGCTATAGTTATGCAATGCACGATAATATAAAAATATTCTTCAGCATGATTTATCCTTAAACTGATCAACAAAATAGGTACTAACACATGTGTGTTGTTAATACATAATTGTTCTAATTTCTTCTTGAATAAACATTTTACTTCTTTTATACATTAAGCTTGTCTTGTGAGAGATCCTAAAATCTTGAAAGAAAGACCAAGTATGTTCTATTACTTCAGCAATTTATTTTATTGGTAATAAAATAATAATATTTTGTGTTTAAATTTTATTAAATAATCCCAAAATTAAATTTAATCTAAATCTACATAAGATTTGAAGTTTTCACGCTGGTGATTATGAAGAATGCCAAATTCTGGGATGTAGTGCCATGTAGATCTTGTGTGAACTGACGTTTTGGAGGAATGTATCACCTCCATCTTCAGGGTAGAAAAATCTGTGAGCAAGGCTGCAGCCACCTGCTCATGCTGGTTCCTCCTTCATGGATTTTCTACCCTGAATATGGAGGCGATACAGTCCTCTAAAATGTCAGTTCGCACAAGATCTACACAGCGCTACATTCAGAAGATGGCATTCTTCATAATCCAAAAGGTTCAAGGCTGTGTCAATACGCTAGCTGGTCAGTACTACACACAAACACTAGTGGTAACAAACACTAGTGGAATGATGACAGGCAGAGAGAGACTAAAGTACTTAGAAAAAAATCTGCAGCAGATCACAACACCAATAAATCGCAGTAAGAACTGTTAATATTAAATATAATAATAATAATAATAATACTAATAACAACAATAATAATAATAATAATCCTTAAGCCAGGGTGTAATTTTTTGTAAATATAGATAGACAGCGAAATCCAAATTTTATACTTGAAATTTAATCAAACAGAATGCATATACAGTTCACATATCCCTATCATCAACAAAGCAGCAATTAAAATCAAATCACGCTGGAACACAGTCAATTCATATAATGACATCTGCCCACTATATTTCCAGCGTCAGGATGGTTACTACCATCCACAGCAGCAACATGGCTATTATCACCGTCCCCAGGGAGTGCCTATCAACAAACCAAATGAAAATGGTGGCATTCTGTCCTCTATCAGCAATGGTTTCAACAATCTTGTCAGCAATATCTTCGGTTGAGATGTTTCAAGAACTTCAACAAGCAGACATATTTTATTTATTTATTGTGAGATAATATCACAATACAAAAGTGGAACTGTTTCAGTAACATTTCCATAGAAAACATTCTAACATGAAAGGTGTAACCAACTGTGGCAAGACAGAGTCACTGCACTTACCACTCTCAAAAGAGACACTTTACAGTGAAGATGAATGTGATGACAATTACAGCAACATATGCTAAATAAATTAATGAGAGCAAGAATGATATACAATCTAAAGATATACAAGCAGAGAGAAAATCATTCAAGTTGTTCTGTAAATGATAATTATGTTTCTTAAGAAATTAGTTAAAACTGTCATTTAGTTCAATTACCATATTATTCTTTGTGCTGGAAGAGTTGAAAATGTCTTCCACAAAATTTAAATAAAACTTGTATTTGGAAAAAGCAATGTATTTTAATATGATACTGTTTTATAAATAAACATTTTTATACAATATTTTGCAAAAGCAACAATTTTCTGTACACTGTTAATGTTATCCTTATCCACAGATCTGACATAATGGACATTAAATCAATGTTTGCAAAATTTGTCCCTTTCAAATCATTTAGTAGATGTGAAGTGGTGACAGCTTGAAAGTTTAGACTATAGTTAAGCGACTGCTGCATATATATATATATTGCTCAGTATGAAAGGGCTTGAAGACACATTTTGCAAATTTTGACTTATGTCCACAGAATATAATTTTTTTCCCATTTAAATGATATCCTGCCCTTCAGTGAGGAATAATGGCATCTCAATGCTGTAAAGGTTTTTACCCAACCTATGCCCTTTGTACTAAGTACCAAAGAGTTAGGAGACTGGTTTGAAGGCCACATAAATAGACTTCAAGAAGACCACTGATCATGGAAAACCAGCAATTATAGCAAACAGATTTTTATGGTCAATGCAAGCACCATCATTTGATCCATAAAGACATAGGACGAGGAGGGGGAGAAGAAGAAAGTGATGTGTCAATTTTCACACGCCCAACACACACACACACAATGCTTCTTGCAGCTGGTATACCATAAAACAATTTATCATACTGAAAAACTTGTTAGAAGTCACATATCTGTCAGTGCACTGCATGTTCTCATCCTTGAGGCTAAAACAGAGCACAAGAGTACCAGCTAACACACAGACAGGAATGCCAGAAGCAATATATACACAGATATTGCTTTCCAAGCACACTAAATGATATTTCACCAATCATTATGTTGCAGTTATATTGTCAGCTACCTTCAACAGGTGATGAGGTCACAACATAAAAACATCAACCTTGATCTAGAACAAAAGAAGAAGATGAACTTTATCAAAGAGAAGAGAAAAACTTCATGTGATCCCCACATGAACAACTTCACTATTCAAAACGTGACATGGGAAGTATAATTAAAAACTAAACTCTAATGACAATATAATATCTAATGCCAAAAACACATGAAGCAGAACAGTATTAGTCCATTACCCAAATAACATTAATTATAAATCGCAAGCTTCTCAATACATAATTGTCTCTTCACCTGTTATCTGATATCTCCTATGTCCAAATGTCTTTTTCAGCACATAATTTTTAAATACCTTCAGATGGGGTAGCAACATCTGTTCTTCCTTCCAAGTATGTGATCAAAAAGTTTAAAACTATATACTGTGTTAATATCTTAACACTGATCAATAAGCATCTTAGCCTGAAAGGCATCTTCTTAACAATCTTACCTGCATGTATTAAATTGTGACACACAATCCAAAAAGCATCTTATTAACTCTCTGTAACCACAGGCACCATGTCTCGTGCAGTAATAAATGCAGACAACAAGGCACTGAGCTGGATATTTTCATTTGTTCCTGATGCTAAACGATGCTCAATGTCAGCCATTTTAATAATCAATCCTACTAGAGCAGGTGAAGGGAGTTCAACTAAAAAGAGAAATGATAGTATATGGAAATTAGTATACAGCATTCAGATATTCAAAACTGTCATTAAAAAGAATGACTGCAGAAGAACTATGCATGACTATTGCAATTTAAAAATAAGAAATTTTAATTAAGAAACTTAGGGGGGGGGGAGTTAACAAGGCTAAAGGAATCAGAACTGGTAATATCACAGTATCAAGTAATTCCATCTTAAGCACAAACTAAGTTATCACATAAGAACACAACTATTTTACTATGGTCATATTGTGCCTGCCTAAAATCCGGAATATCTGAACAGAGCTGGCATCCATTGCTAGACAACAGCTTGTTAAAACATGTGGCTGGGACAAGCTGGAACAGACCATTAACGAGCAACGCTCGATAAACACTGCCTAAAAGCTGGAATAGTGAGGCCAGACAAAGAATTACTCATTTTGCTAGGCAAACATTCATGCACATTTCTGAGACAAGGCATGCATAACAGACTGTTACCATGGAAATGAAAACCAGAACTACTGCAGTTCCCGCGGCAATGAACACACTGGCTACCAGTGCATGGAACACATGAAACAGAACCTTTGAGCAAGGTGTCTTCTAGACTGTCTGACTGTCGGTTATAACAGTCGAGAACAGAAGCAAACAAGACAGAACAGAGCACAGCTGAGAGAAGAAACCAGCTCAGCTAAGAACGAGGAGACAGGCTAGTCAGATTACATCATCTGGAAGACGTTATTTCTGAGACCCTGTAATTGCAATCGTAAACAACTTCCCAATAAACAGCTTCGTCTAATCCGGAACCCATTACTTTCTTGCCGTGTTACTAGGATACGTGACAATATAATTTTCTAATGATTTCAATGCAATTATTAATCACAATATTAGGCAAGCAATTATAAATACACCTGCATATTAAATTAATGTAAGCTTTCAAATTATCAATAACAACATAAGAAGTTGTAATATCAAAATATAAATTCATAGTGATTTATATCCTTGCTTAAAAGAAGTACTTACTTCTATGAATATAAAGATGGACTTCTGTCAAGATGTCCTGGAGTGCCAGCCCTTTGGCAGTTTTCATATCTTGAATTTCTGGCCTTTGTTAAGAACTCATGCAGTGAAAGACATCACACAACTCAGTAAAGTGACTGGCTACAGGTTGTAGCACCAAAGTTTAATTGGTAGAGATGGGGACTTTTCTCTAATGGCAAACAGTCACATTGTGATGACTATTAACCTTCATTCGGTGCCAAAGTCTAGAATGCAAGGAACTTTTCCACAGCCCCTATATATCTCCATGACGTGGTCCTTAGGCACATAAGAAATTCTGCCTTTTATCTTACACTGAGCAACATAAGCAATGGAAAATGTAAAAGACAAACTATCCTTGCACCTAAGCACCATTAGGGAATAAAACAAAGGTGAACAGATATTTTCATTTTATATTGTGCCCTCAGCACCTGACAAAGATGGTCTGAACGCTGAAGTGAAAAACCATATGCCTCCTAAAAACTGAACCTCACTCAATTCTGTCAGTGGCCAGTCATGTGCAAGTGATTACTTTAACATTTATCAGCAGTATAAGAAGCACTGGAGTTACATCACACAAATATTAAATTAAATGCCACCGTAAAATGCTTCAACTGTACAGAAAGTAATGCACATCAATCTTCTATCAGCAGGTAATGAGGCAGGATCTGATACAGCAGTCTTTCAGCCATTCTGCCACAGCATAAGTCCAAATGTGTAATGACTTTCCATTTCAAATATTTCTACACAGTAACAGTAGCTGAGTATGAGGTAACATTGGTGAAGTATTTTTTTTTCCTTGGCACTACAGCCCCAGTGGGCCTAGGCCTACCTCCATGAACTTCTCCGTTCACTTCGGTTTTTCTACATCTTACACATACGGTAGGACTCCTTGGGCGAGTGATCAGCTCGTCACAAGGCCTCTGCCTGTAAACAAACACAGAAAAACGCACACAAACATCCATGCCCTGAGTGGGATTCGAACCCACGATCTCGGCTTCCGAGCGAGCGAAGACAGTGCATGCCTTAGACCGGCATTGGTGAAGTATTACCCAGTCATGTTTTGTCACCTCATCAGCCTGCGCTGCTCTTTCTTTACTATTTCTCTATGCAGCTTATTGATGAATATTGTAATTAGCACCCCACTGGTACACTCTGACATATCACACACAATCTGCGTGTGGGCTTAAAGATTTCTGTAAGTGGTCATTTGCCAGCTGTAACTAATGAAACAGCTAATAAGGGACATCTCATTCTCTTTGGGTCATCATTCAATCTTGTAAAAAAACTAGAAATCACAGTCAGATACAGTGAGCATGACCATGATATCAGACATAAGACTGACAAATTAAAAAAAAAAAAACATATTTTGCAACATAATCATGCATATGGAACATCAGAGGCCACATTTGGTAAGCACACAGATTCTTAACCCTTTGACGTGGTCATTTAAATTCCGCGGCCGCGGCTCCTGCGGTAATATATTCAGCCGGCCATTTAAATTTTGCTCGAAAATTATTTATTCATCATTGTTCTTAAATTCTATGAGATAGGAACATGAAACTTTCACTAAAATGATCTTAAAAGGTGGTTTTATAACCTTACCTTATAATATG